CCCAATATTCAATTGGAAGAGATTTGAATTAAAATATTTTCATCACATTAATATCAAACATTCTTTTTTATCCTTTCTTAATTATTCCAATTTAAAAAATACTATTCATTGTTTAATTTTATTAATATTTTTCAAGAACAATATTTTTATAAATCCAAATTTGACAGGAGTAATTCAGAAGAGAGAGTGGTTGATAAATTTTAATGTATTTTAGTTGTAAATATTTTTTCTTTTTTTTAAATAATAATTTATTCATACACTCTTTTTACATACGTAGTCAATGTATATTTAATAATTATTGCTAATTTGAAAATTAGCAATTTTCATTCATTCTTTTTTTTAAACAATTCTTTGTAATTACAATACAACAACACTGTAAAAACTACAGTAAACAATAAAAATACTATTTTGAAGACAAGTTTTTATATGGTCTCAAATCTTTTATCATTATAATTTACTTTCTTGAACTGGTTTATGCATCGATAAAATTAATGATTTTTTTCGAATTACATTTATTTTTTGTTCATTGTTTGTCACCATCATTTTCATCATTACTGCCTTCATCATTATCGTCATTAATACTTTCATTAACTTTTCAGTTTCTTCAATAGCATGCATCCGTATCATCACTAGGAGTTTTTGGTTTTTGGATATTTCTTTATCATATATTATCAAATTCTTGATTAACAACCTCTTTCTTCCATTTGAAATTCTTGTTATGTTCCTGCTATTATATTCTTGATAGCTTCTTGCGTTGTATCTTTCACGATCCTGCTTCTGTCCAACAGAACTTGTTAAAAGACTTTTTGATGAAAGTCTCTTTTGTGATATTGAGCCATATCGTCATCTTTAATGAGTTGCATGACTGCATCTTTGCATATGATATAAAATGTTTTATTTTAGTATACAACTTAAAATCTGATAATTAAATTGGTTTTTTTAATAATATTTAATGGTGGTGAAGAGGAAAACGGTTCGCGTCAACCGAACTAGTAACAAAGTCCCTGTGTATAGTTCAGGCAATATACTGAGATTCGACTCCCAACGTGTCAAAATGAAGTGTAAGAGAGCCGAGAGTTTTATAAAAAAAATTTATTTTAAACTTCAAGAAATCAGAAAATTTTTAGTTATAAAAAAGCTGGTTTTAAAGGAACGTATTTACTAGGTCATTCAGTTGGACTTAAACTTAATGGTTATGAATCGTTAACAACTTAAATTTAGATAGATATCTGCTAGAACTCGATATTTTGAAATTGATAAAAACCATTTATTCAGGACTTGTACCCACATAGCTAAGATCATATGATAGTTTAAATGAAATGCTGTCAATAATAATAAAGTATCAGATTCTCGCCAATTATCGATAAATTGGTAATTGTTAGCATAAATATTTTACTTTTTCAAAAAAAAAAATGTACACAGTGAGTCTCGGTTTAGCGGATTTAGGGATAAATTTTCAAAAACCAAATTGTCTATAATTATTTTATCTCGCTAACAGATCTAATGGGATTTTTCATAATATATTCGGTTTACTGGATATTTTTTTAAAATCACTTGTTATAATAATAATAATAATAGTAATAATAATAATAATAATAATAATAATAATAATAATAGTTTATAGAATTAATGGGTAATAGGTTTATGGTTTTTTTGTAATTTTAACTTATTTATTATCATATATTAATAGGAATATTTAAATAATTTATGATTTTTATGACTTAATAAATAAATATCAATAAGTAATGAGGGGACCTCACTCGGGTCTTCTTTATCAACATCTACAAATCTTTTCGTAACGTCTACAACAATTAACAGTTAACAGTTGTCTCATCACATTTTGAATTTGGCATGTCCTGGTTTAATCAAGTGCATTCATGATCATTAAACACAGCATTATCACAGGTAATCTCAATTTCTTAATTACTAATACTACAAGCGTATTTAATGTACGCGTCAATAATAGCGAGATTGTTATTAACTACAAAA